ACGGGGTTTCACCATGTTGACCAGGATGGTCTCGATCTCTTGACCTCGTGATCCACCCGCCTCGGCCTCCCAAAGTGCTGGGATTACAGGCTTGAGCCACCGCGCCCGGCCTAGTTTACATTTTTTAAAAAGCCTCAGTGTATATAGTTCTCTGAATTGCCTCTCCTGTCCTCCTTGTAAGCATTTTATTGAATTTTCTTTTGCTTTTTTTAAACAGACTAAAAAAGAAGCACCTGAGTGGTCTAAGAAACAAAAGATGAAGACCTAGTGTTCTGGATGGGAAGCACCTGTAGACCATTATTTACTCCTGAAGTTCTCTTTCTAATGGAACACAAAATTCATCTTAATCATGTACTCAGCATTTTTTAAATAACTATGTTTATTTGACTAATGTTAAATTAACAAGTTTAGTATAATCAAAATGTATAAAAAACAAACAATATACTTTATTTTTTTTATATTTTGTTAAAAAATAAATATATATGCTATGGCTTAAATTTTGGAGCTTTCATAAATGTTCAATGAATTTTAAGTGTGTGGTTTATAAGTATTTTGGTGAGTATTTTTCTTTACTACATAAATTCTGAGTTTAAATGTCATAACACAAATACCAAGGCACTTTGCGTTTTTAAACATTAGGGATCATTTGTGAAGTCTACTACCAGGTACTTCAAATGCCCAGTCATGGCGGTCAGATACCTTGTAGATGGATATCAATTGTTGACTTTTTCTTGAAATTCTGTTTTTTTCTTATATTTTATATTACTGTTAACCAATGAAATCTGGCAGAAACTCTGTCATTCCATTGGTAAAGTGAAAATTTGGTGGAAAGTCTGTTGCTACATTGGTCGTAACACTGTTGGACCAGATGCAGTGTGGACCAGATTTCTAGTCAGTGAGAAAAAAAAAAAAATCAATAGGATTTTCTTTTTTCATAAAATATGCACCATTTCTCACTGAAGTTGTGTACTTTAAAGAAAGGAAGGAGGAGAGAGAAAAAAAGGAAAGAAATATATATATATACACACACATATATATGTATGTCCAGGTTTTTCAACCACTATTGACTTTTT